GCCGGGGCCAGGGCCCGGCGCGGGCCGGGCGCGCAGCTCCTCCAGGACGCCGCTCAGAGCCACGTTGCGGCGCAGCTCGGCGCCGTCGGGGAAGGGCTGCCGGCACTCGGGGCACGCCTTCTCGCGGCATTTCCACCAGTCCCGGATGCAGGCCCCGCAGAAGTTGTGGCCGCAGAGCAGCGTCACCGGGTCCTGGTAGAGCCCCAGGCAGATGGCGCAGGTCAGCTTGTCCTCCAGGCGCTGCGCGGCCATGGCGGCGGCGGGCGGCCCCGGGTGCGCCTTCAGATCGTGCCTCTGAAAGGGACCGCGGCTCCCGTGGGCGGCGCCCGGCCGTGGGCGCTGGGGGCGGAGCGACGACCCACCGCGGGAGAGAAACGTGATAGCCTTTCTTCCGTCCCGACCTGCTGCCACTCCCAGCGCCTGCCCGCCGCAGCGTGCCGGCTCCGACGGCTCCCGGCTTCCCTTTCCGGCGCTCGGCCCTCCCGGCTCCGAAACACCCCCTTTCTGCCTCCTGTCTGGGAGGCTGGGAGTTTGGGTCTGGCTCTCTCCGGTCCCACCCTAAGACCTCCATCCTGCTTCCCTAGACCCTCAGTCCAGCAGTTTCTGTGCGTGGAATCCGGCCGCAGGCTCTAGAGACAAAAGAGCCCTGGGAAACTCCTCAGACCTCCAGGCCTGGCTGGGGGCCATCACGGGACCTCTTCTGAGCCCCTTACCTGAAAATCTAATACTAATACTACTAGCAACAATGTCTACCTCCCTGGAGTTTTGCCGATTATATGCGACAGCGCATGGGAGTGCCTGGCAATGAGAATGGGACACACAGCTAGTGCTCATTAAATGCTCTCTCCTGACCCCAAGGGCTCTGCTGCATTTCTCCTTGAGCTAAATTTCAGGCTCTTGCCAGACTGGGGTGTCTCCCTTCTCTAGGCCATGCCTAATTTTAGTTCTTTTAAAGTAAACAGTGAGGTGGAAATTTCTGGTTACCAAGAGACAGGGACCAGAAAACTGGTTTCTTCATACCCCCTTTATTTATTTATTTTTCATACCCCCTTTAAAGGAAACTCAAAAGCAATCTTCAGCTTTACTTGGAATCCCCTCTAGGTGTCAGCCCTCTGCTGGAGAGAGTTCCTTCTTTGCTGGTCCAGGCTGTTCTGGAACCTCACTTTTTAGAGAGGTGGTTCCCCTGCAGCTGAGCAGAAGAGAGGGGTCTTTCCTGATTGCTAGCCCACCTGCCCTGGGGCAGTTGGTATTTAGCCAGCATGAGCTGGAGGAGGGTTAACTCTCCTTTCTTACTGAGCTGGCCTAATTTTGAGGCAAGCTGCCCTCTGCAATGCAGTAAGCATCTGTCTTCCGTGTTGTATATGAAGTTTCTCTTTCTGGAAAAGGTGTACAGATCTCCTCTTGATTGACAACTAGGCAGTCTTTTCCTTTAAAGAGGAGAAATACCCTAACCATCCAGCAAGGATGCAAGGGCTTTCTGGACCCCAAGCAGGGGGTGTGCCTAGAGATCTGAGACCTGCCTTTGCCCTGCCTTTGCTTCTTATTCAAAGCACTTGGAGGCAAGGGGCCAATGCCCAGGGCTGGCAGATTTTCTTCAAGAGGCCTGTGGGAGCAGTCAGGGCCCACTACCTGCTTTTCTTCTGTACTGATCTTCAGCCACAGGATGACAGGGCCTCTGACACCCTGAGGAAGCAGAGGTGAGTGGTCACCTGGGGTGGGAGGCAGCCCACTTCCCACCCATAAAGCAAGACTTCCACCAGGGGGCGCTGTGGCTGTTCCTAGAACACAGACTTAGACCAGCTACAGCAAAAGTCTCTTTTTTGTTTCCTTCCTTCCTTGTCCTGCCACCACTTGCCTTTTTCATATGGTTCCTCTCACCTAGAATGTCAAGCATTCTCCCATCTACCTCCTTTAATCAGTGTTATCCCCTGAGGCCCATTTCCCTCAGGGTTAGTCCAATTCTCGAAGTCTTTTCCACTGCCTCAATACTTCAACTATCTTCCATACAACTTAGCACTCGTCACTTGTGACTCATGTGCATAGATCTTGAGTTTCTAAAGAGAGAGCTCAAAACTGAACCTTCCTCTGTGCCCCTGCCATCCCTGTTTCCTTAGCCCACAGCACCCTCCCCAAGCCACAAACATATTGCTTCCAAGATGCACTGAAAGGCTGGGCTGTGGTTACAATCTTGTCAGACGTCCCTAAACTGAGTCTTCAGTCAGAAGGTGAGGGGAGGGTTCCGCACACCCACCATGCAGCCAGAGCATCTCAGGCGAGCCCTGCTGGCACACACACCAGCCCTCGGCATCCGTGGGCGGCTTCCTGCAGCAGTGGGGCGTCGCAGTAGCACAGGTTCCCCCCTACCCTAGCAACCTGGCCCCCGTCCCCTCTGCTTCCTCTGCTGCTGGCACCACGGAGGCCTTAGCCAGAAGCAGACAAACCTGAGGAGCCAAGCAACTGCTTTCGGCTGCCACGCACCTACAGTACTCACCTAGGCCTCCACGAGGCTCAGGGCTGGTTCCAGCAAGAGTCTTTATTCATCTCCTCCCACTGCCACCCACTGTCACCCCCAGAGAGCCTTCTTTACTCCCAAGCCCTGGGCCTGCCGGGAGGGCGGCAGAGGCGCTGCCTCAGGCAGGGCCGAGAACCCCAGTGCTTGGCCCCGGGGGCTGTCTCCATTGCTCTTGCCTGCAGAGCTTGACAGGGCGGCCTGAGAGGCCCAGTCCACTGAGGTGGGTGGCACTCTGGCCACTCAGTAGATGCCATAGGTGGGCTCGTGACTGTCCCGGTACCGGTCCAGGTAGCGCAGGGGCTCCCGGTGGGGGAAGTGCTTCTGCTTCGGGTGGTACGGGGGCGGCCGCACAAACTCAAACACTGGCTCTCGCATTTCTACAAGAAGAGCGAAGGGGCATGAGTGTGGGCTGCTGCTGGCCCGAGCCCCTCTCTAGTCTGCTAGGTGGGATACCCAGCCAGCCCACCCCAGGAGCTGCACACCTGCCGGGGGCCCTCTCCTGACAGGCCCTTCTCCTGGCGAGTCGGGTCTGTGAGCTGAGGCCAGCCTCCGCTCTCCCCCAGCCCCCTCTGCCCTTACCCAGAAGATGGTGGAAGACGTGGGTGACCGAGTCATCCCAACGGCACTGGAAGAAGGCCAGGCCAGCTGGAGTCATGGCATCTTGGTGTTTCTTGTAGAAATCAAAAGTGTGGAAGGTCCGCTGGGCAAGCTGGTAGCTACAGGAAGATGGGGAGCATTTGAGAGTGGGGAGGGGGGAACCAGAACCCCACACCCTACCTCCAGTCCCACAGGCAATCCTGAGAAGCCCCTTAGGGTCTGCCTAGCACAACTAGCCTTCTGCGCACCTCAAGGTCTAAGTTAGGAAAGAGGAGAAATGAGCAAGACTGACCATTGCTGGGAAGCTGGCCTAAGGCTGGGGGGACTGCTGTGTGTGGTGGGGGGATCGGGAGAGGTGTGCAGATTACCAGGGCGAGGGCCGGGTGTCCCCAGAGAAGTCGACTGGCTTGTCTTGCTTGAAAAGCAGGAAGACAAAGCGGTGGAAGCCGGTGCCCTGGGCAGGGAAGGGAGGCAGGTAGGGACACGTCTCCTGTCCTTCAGCCATCCTGTTGCCTGGGATGTTGGTTCTGGCGGGAGGAAAAGCATCTGTTAGCTGCCACTAGAGGGAAGTGGCAGCAGGAACGTCCTCACCTCTGTGCTCCCTCAAGACTGATGAACCCCCTGGGAGGACAGACCATCAGGTGATCTCTGTTGTACAATCCGGCAGGAAGCAGAGCTCTGCAACCCTCGGACGGACTGCAAACTTGTGGAGGGAGCAGCAGGGGCTTAGAGACTGAGGGCTAGGGTCCCAGGACTGTCAGGTTGACAGCAAGGGCAAGCAGGCTGTTTACGGGGCCTGGGGAGCTGGTGGGGCTGCCACAGCCATTCAGCAGGAGAGCCATGCCACCTAAGGCTACTTCTCTCTCTGCTTCCTGAAGGCTCTGGGTTTGTCAGGCAGTGTTTGCCCAGCCCGGCACTGGGAATGGCCACTGGGCCTGCCCCAGGTACAACTCCTCAGAGGCTCCTGCTGTACACGTTGGTATATGCAGTTAAATAAAAAATGACAGAAACCAGCCTGAGTCACTCATCCCAATTAGCTAGAAGTCCCAAAGCTGGGTCACCTGCATGACCTCTGCCCTCTAGCCTGATGCTCAAAACCAAAGGCCAGTGAGAAAACAAAGGTAGCCCAGACTGGGCATGTCACAGCTGCCAGAGGCTTGTCATGGTCCTTTTCCCATTTGACTGTCACAGAGCCCCTCAGGGCAGCTAAGGCACGTGGTGGCATCATCCTAGTTTCACAGGCGAGGAAATGAGTTCAGGGAGCCAAGAGGCCTGTGGGAGTGCCCAAGGCCATTGCCTGCTTTTTCTTCTGTACCTGTCTTCAGCCACTGGATCACAGGGCCCCTGATGCCCTCAGGAAGCAGAGGTGAGGAACCACCTCCAAGGGTGGGAGGTTAATCCAAAACCGCACGGATACTCCATGGTGGAACCAAGACTTAATTGCAGTTACAGCTCTTTCTAGGATGCCAGGGACTCCTCCAGAGCTCCTGACCCAGCCTCCTGCCCCAGGTACTCACACCAGCCAGTGGACATATTCGGCATCCGGTTCCAGCAGGTGTCCATCTGCACAGAAACACACCCTGCTGACTGAGGGCCCTGCTGCCCCTTCCCACCTCCTTCCTTGGAAGGAACTGGGGCTGGAGCTCTCTGCCTGGCCCGGCCCCCAACTCCCCGGAGCCCTGGCTCATGGAAGGTGAGGGAGGCAGGAGTCCCAGTGAGCCCCAGACACCTACCCAAGTTGGTGAGCAGCAGTGTCCACATGGAGCCCTCATCTGCCTCATAGGTCACTTCTGGGGCCTGGGCAGCCTGGGGGAGAGAGAGGGAACTGTCACCCCCAGCAGGGATGGACAAACTATTCTAAACAGATCTTCCTTCTGAAGGGCAGGAGCCTGAGGGAGCCCTGAAGGGAGAGCCCATTCTGATCCAAACGCCCTTGACAGCCCCTCAAGGTGGGCAGGTGGGCAAAGAGAGACCTATGGAAGGAACTCTGCCATTGCCTATTCAGAGATCTGAACTACAAGAAGGCCCATGTGTTGGCAGCCAGTGGCTGGGAGAGCACTGTGAAGACAGAGGGTATGTATGCCAAGTGTGCCCAAGATGCAGCTTCATTTTCTGTCATTTTATAATTTTTCTTTGTAATTACTGTACGCTGGTGCTGTTTACCAAGAAATTAAAAAGAGGAGACAGAGAACAAGAACATCCCAGATCAGTCTAAGCCAAGGCTGCGCTGGCACCCTTGACCACTGTAACCACCACCTCTATAGGTGCTTTCAAAAAGGAGTTGTCTGTGGCCCGTGGTGGGATGCGTCTGTCACAGGCTGCAGTCACCTCAGT